TATATATATATATATATATATATATATATATATATATATATATATATATATATACATATATATACATATATATACATATATATATATATATATATATATATATATATATATATATATATATATATATATATACACACATATATACACACACACATATATATGTATATATATATGTATATATATATATATATATATATATATATATATATATATATGTATATATATATACAAACATACATACACATATATTTATGCTTATAATACATATACATATAATATATGCATTAAAAAATAGGTTTCTTTTTAATAGTTCTGTCATGCTGATGCAAAGACATTCTCAAACGGTTTGATTGTGATGTTTAGGTTCCCAGTGGCAAAAAAAAAAAAAAGATATCCTAAAATTTACCCAAAACGTTTAAGAAGTATCCATGTAACTTTAATAAGGTATCCCATCCAATATTTCAGTCAACATGCAACACAAGAAGTATGAAGCTATGCTATGAAACAAAGCAGATATTCTAACCTTCAACGCCTGGCATATCTCCCGGCTCCTAGTAGAAGAATCAAAGACTAACTGTTCCCAGATTTGGTAGGCAAACCCTGGCTCTGTCTGAATCAGTCTGACAGACCGGCAGCAAGAATACAGAAATGCAGATACATGTCCGTATTTTATTCTGAACTCAAGAAAAATAGACTGTAATGCAAATTAAAAAAATACTATCTCACAGGTATATATATATATATATATATATATATATATATATATATATATATATATATATATATATATATATATATATATATATATATATATATATATATATATATATATATATATATATATATATATATATATATATATATATATACACACATATATACACACACACATATATATGTATATATATATGTATATATATATATATATATATATATATATATATATATATATATATATATATATGTATATATATATACAAACATACATACACATATATTTATGCTTATAATACATATACATATAATATATGCATTAAAAAAATAGGTTTCTTTTTAATAGTTCTGTCATGCTGATGCAAAGACATTCTCAAACGGTTTGATTGTGATGTTTAGGTTCCCAGTGGCAAAAAAAAAAAAAAAGATATCCTAAAATTTACCCAAAACGTTTAAGAAGTATCCACGTAACTTTAATAAGGTATCCCATCCAATATTTCA